TGAAACCTGTCAGTATTTGTGTTTCTACCTGTTCGATAGTGTTTCTTTCAACGGGCGAAACATCAACAGAGCCTATCGCATATTTGTGTTTCTACCCGTGTGTGTGTGATAATGATTGTTGTTAATGGACGGTGAGGCGAGAATGATAACCTAATCACCCGGACACTTATCATACCTGTTATCCTTTATGTAACAGATGATTGTACGGGGGAAGATGAACAGACTCGGATAATTGTGCAGGACAAGAAGAGAGAACTGAGCTCATTGAATACGGAGAAGAGGAGAGACCTCACGTCAGTACTGAGGAGTGAGCCCAGCTCATTGTGTACAGGGAAAGAGTACAATGCAGAGTTTACTGTACAGGATAAAATATGGAATATACAGTGTATTGTACAGGGAAAGAATACAACAGAATCTGATGAATAATTTATTTTAAGAGACAATTTATCCATTACAATGTAAGTGCGAGGGTTTAATTAATTACTTTTTACGTAGTAAACAAAACATGAAGGGTAACTGCAGTTAATACTTAGGTCAGGGAGTGAATATATTGGAGAAAGGTGAACAACGTATAAATATAGGGGGAACAACACTTAGAAAAAGGTAGACAACGAATAAAGAAAGGTGAACAACACACAGAGAAAGGGGTAGCGCTCAACGAGGTAAACAAAAGACGGACTAAGCAAATATGAATAGTGGTAGACAGGCTACCAGGAAGGAAAGGGCAAAAAAACGTTGGGTGAGGTGGGCATAACTAGTGGAGAGCAGCGAGACACAGACCAGGAGGCTACACCTAGCTATTAACACAGTATAACACTGTCAACACACTCATATTGACACTCATTACGTCTGACGTCACTACGGTTAAGATCGGAAAATATTGCACGTTATTCGCGATGATACAAACACTGGTTCATAAGTATATATATATATATATATATATATAATATATATTTTTTTACTGTGCTTAATAAACGCAAATAATAAATTATACACAGGCTATGTTTATATATATAATAGGCAAATGTGCTATAACACATTGCTATATTATATAACGGTGCTCCACGCATTAATATACAGCTATGACATTCTTTTATAATGCATAAAAAAAAGACACAAAAAAGATCTGCAACTCTTTGTTTTGTTTTTTTTTACTTTGATTATGATAACTGAAGAGTTCTGTCACAACTCATGCGAGCGAAACGTTGACCCAATAAATCTATTCTTCACTGTTGTTGGCAGGACGACAATCGGATCCTGGACAATTCTGCTGATGTATGATCTGGCAGGTGTCAGTTTCTTCGCACGCTACACACGTATTGTTTATACACACACAGGTGTTGCTCTGAATTAGATAGAGCTACTTAAATTACACCAGCACATCTACCCTCCTCAGGCGGCGGGTCGCGCTAAACTCAAATCGTATGCGCTGGTTCGACAGGTGAAACACGCATCCTGGTTAACGTAGAGGTCGAAGCAGATGTGTAGCTCCTGGGGCTGGTCACCAAAGGCTGATGGAGCACCGAAGGTGAGTTCACAACTAAATTGGAAATGGAAATTAGTAGATTATCCGCAGGCTTCTGTCTTTAACCTATGAGTCGTGAATTGCTCCAGCCACTGGATTATTCCAGCCCACCGTATTGTGACTAATTCCTGAAGGATGGATGTCTGTTCCAGTGCTTCAAGCGTTGCCTGTTCGGAATGAGTGTCCCACTGCCTCTGCCTTTTCCGGGCCAGGGAGAAAAGTGAACCTGTTCCGCCGCCTCTGATGAATCAGACTGAAGACCTTTGCCATTCCGAGAAGGAACCCCTCGGTGGATCCAGTTAAATTTGAAGCAAAGTTCCACCATCCACGCTCCATTCTCACTGAACGACAGAGGGCGGCGAGGCTGAGGTCAGCGTGGGCGTAAGGGCGGGGGAGGTGAGGTACTTGGCCTCAGGACGCACCAAGAAGTATGAGAGGGCGGTCCTGGGGTCGTGGGGGTAGGTGGCTCCAGAAGGGTAGAGGCAGCTAAAGTAATTTCCTGTTGGGGAGAGAAGAAGAAAGGTGAGGGAGGCGCTATCGAGAGTCACATTAATATACCACCAGCCCAGGAGGTGACGGAAGCTTCCGTCCAGCCCAGGAGGTGACGGAAGCTTCCGTCCAGCCCAGGAGGTGACGGAAGCTTCCGTCCAGCCCAGGAGGTGACGAAGTTTCCGTCCAGCCCAGGAGGTGACGGAAGCTTCCGTCCAGCCCAGGAGGTGACGGAAGCTTCCGTCCAGCCCAGGAGGTGACGGAAGCTTCCATCCAGCCCAGGAGGTGACGGAAGCTTCCGTCCAGCCCAGGAGGTGACGGAAGCTTCCGTCCAGCCCAGGTGACGGAAGCTTCCGTCCAGCCCAGGAGGTAACGGAAGCTTCCGTCCAGCCCAGGAGGTGACGGAAGCTTCCGTCCAGCCCAGGATGTGACGGAAGCTTCCGTCCAGCCCAGGAGGTAACGGAAGCTTCCGTCCAGCCCAGGAGGTGACTGAAGCTTCCGTCCAGCCCAGGATGTGACGGAAGCTTCTGTCCAGCCCAGGATGTGACGGAAGCCTTGTCATCAGGTGACAATAACAATAATAACAATATCAATAATAATCATCATCATAATAATAACTGCCGCTTCATCATCCACAGGATGATGGGGGGGATGTTATTAACACTGAATTCGTTGTTTTATAGTGATCGTAATTCTTACGTTGTTAATAGCTTTCGTTAACGTATATGGAGGGAAGAAAAGTACAAGTCGACATAATCCAGGTGAGAATAATATAGGTTGATATTATTCACACGAGAACAGTATGAGAACAGTGCAGGTCGAAATTATCCAGGTGAGAAGAGTGTGAAAACGATATTGGTCGACATTTTCAAGGTACGGAAAAGAATAACTGGGGCTAACTTTACTTGACCTAACTGAGCCCTAACAATACTCTTACTTATTTAAATAATACGTGTTTGGCCCCTTTCGTAGGTGCCACTCTTAAGTCAGTGCTGTGAGCGTCATGTCTGAGCAGCAAGACTACGCTACCGAGGAGATAATCACTCGCTTATTATAAATTGTACCTGGAGGGAGGTGGAGGATGGAGGTGTGGGGATGGGGAAGGAGGAGGAGGAGGAGAAGAGGGAGGGAAATGAAGAGGGGAGCGTTATATAGTGTTGAGAGACGGATCTGTGCATCCTAGGAGACACTATCAACTCATATCACGACTGTCAACAACGTCAGTGAAGGGTGACAGATTAAGTGATTCTTCCAGACTCGAAGCTATCCTCCCTTCGCCTCTGTTTTAACATTGCGACACACGAGGATGGTCCACTCGAAAAAAATACGAAATAACCTAAACTTTACGTAAAATTGTACGACTTTCTTCTTGAAATGTATGTATTTTCTCGCTTTTCTTTAATCTTATAAGGAATACTATTATTTATGACTTTGTGAGGAGGGCAGTGGATAGTAACCGTGAGGACGCTGGGTCAAACAAAATTGTTGAGATCCAGTTCTGGTTCCATTATGTACCTCTACTAAGTTTTAACTGAAGCAATACTGGAGAGGTGTCGACACTTGTCGACAAGTGTCGACAAGTGTCGACAAGTGTCGACAAGTGTCGACAAGTGTCGACAAGTGCCGACAAGTGCCGACAAGTGTCTGCCTTCTATTTGACTGACATTATAACTGTAATTATTTTTTTTTGTTCTTGTTGTCGTTATTGGTTGTTATAATAATTAATAATAACAATATTATTATTATTATAACTTTATTTTTTTTATTATCACACTGGCCGATTCCCACCAAGGCAGGGTGGCCCGAAAAAGAAAAACTTTCACCATCATTCACTCCATCACTGTCTTGCCAGAAGGGTGCTTTACACTACAGTTTTTAAACTGCAACATTAACACCCCTCCTTCAGAGTGCAGGCACTGTACTTCCCATCTCCAGGACTCAAGTCCGGCCTGCCGGTTTCCCTGAATCCCTTCATAAATGTTACTTTGCTCATACTCCAACAGCACGTCAAGTATTAAAAACCATTTATCTCCATTCACTCCTATCAAACACGCTCACGCATGCCTGCTGGAAGTTCAAGCCCCTCGCACACAAAACCTCCTTTACCCCCTCCCTCCAACCTTTCCTAGGCCGACCCCTACCCCGCCTTCCTTCCACTACAGACTGATACACTCTTGAAGTCATTCTGTTTCGCTCCATTCTCTCTACAAGTCCGAACCACCTCAACAACCCTTCCTCAGCCCTCTGGACAACAGTTTTGGTAATCCCGCACCTCCTCCTAACTTCCAAACTACGAATTCTCTGCATTATATTCACACCACACATTGCCCTCAGACATGACATCTCCACTGCCTCCAGCCTTCTCCTCGCTGCAACATTCATCACCCACGCTTCACACCATATAAGAGCGTTGGTAAAACTATACTCTCATACATTCCCCTCTTTGCCTCCAAGGACAAAGTTCTTTGTCTCCACAGACTCCTAAGTGCACCACTCACTCTTTTCCCCTCATCAATTCTATGATTCACCTCATCTTTCATAGACCCATCCGTGACACGTCCACTCCCAAATTCTGAATACATTCACCTCCTCCATACTCTCTCCCTCCAATCTGATATCCAATCTTTAATCACCTAATCTTTTTGTTATCCTCATAACCTTACTCTTTCCTGTATTCACTTTCAATTTTCTTCTTTTGCACACCCTACCAAATTCATCCACCAATCTCTGTAACTTCTCTTCAGAATCTCCCAAGAACATCAGTGTCATCAGCAAAGAGCAACTGTGACAACTCCCACTTTATGTGTGATTCTTTATCTTTTAACTCCACACCTCTTGCCAAGACCCTCGCATTTACTTCTCTTACAACCCCATCTATAAATATATTAAACAACCACGGTGACATCACACATCCTTGTCTAAGGCCTACTTTTACTGGGAAATTATTTCCCTCTTTCCTACATACTCTAACTTGAGCCTCACTATCCTCGTAAAAACTCTTCACTGCTTTCAGTAACCTACCTCCTACACCATACACCTGCAACATCTGCCACATTGCCCCCCTATCCACCCTGTCATACGCCTTTACCAAATCCATAAATGCCACAAAGACCTCTTTAGCCTTATCTAAATACTGTTCACTTACATGTTTCACTGCAAACACCTGGTCCACACACCCCCTACCTTTCCTATAACTATATTGTTATTATTGTTATTACTATTATTATTATTATTATTACCATTACTATTATTATTGTTATTACTATTATTATTATCACTATTAGTATTAGTCTTTTTATTATTTATGATCAAATTTGGAGCCGCCTCAGTCTATGTATGCATCAGTTCGTTGATATTCGTAGATCTTGCAGCAGTGACATTACCAAGTGAAATTGCACATCCGTGTCAATGGTTGCAATATGGAAATATTAAAGGACAAGTCAGTGGCGCCGAGGACACCGTCAACCACAGCTTCGGGGCCAAAGAATTTTGACTTTCGGAACATTTCTGGATTATTTGGGAAGAGACGTGTGTCTAACTTAGTAAAGTGTCTGTTCATCTCTGTTTTGGGTTTGTTTCATGTTCTTTTTTTTTAAATGACTGCGGTCACCTTGGCACAACATTGCGAAGATTTGAACTTGGACACAGTTGTTTAAATAAAGTTTCTTTTTTTTTATGGAAAATGACTGTTTTTCACTTTGTTGGAAGGTGATTTCTGTGAGCGTTTCAGGAATAGTAAAGGCTGAAGGCTGGGCTTGAATGTTCAGCTTTATTATTATTATTATTATTATTATTACTATTATTATTATTATCCTAAGAACTAAGTTAACTTACTGTCTAAAAAAATCTTGAACATTTACAAAACGAATAATAGTGTTTGTATTTTGTGTGTGCGCGTGTATGTTCCTGTACGCATTTATAGAGTAAAATTTCTGTATGTATGTGCGAGAGTTTTCGTACGTCCTGTGTGCGTACGTTAGGTACGCACACAATACGTAAAATTAGAAGACAGCAAATATGATACAGCGGGCACCTACTTGCCATATCTGCCGCTGAAGAGACGACTGAATGGTGGGGGGCGGTGGTGGAGTAGAGGCTGGTGGCCAGGGAGGCGGGGTGGAAGGGGTGATGGAGTCGTAGTGTTCCTGGTGGTGATGGCGGTGGAAGATACTTCTCGCTAGGCGAGTCCGGAGCCATCTCGGAGCTCTTCTTCTCCCGGTACCTGACGAAAGCCCTCGAGTCATCGCTGTTGGAGACCTCCTGGTCTTCTTCCGGCCGACAGCGTCGGAGAATCTCCTTCCGTCAGGCTCATTAGCTGTAGGATCAGCCTCGTTTGGGCTTCTCGCAGGGCTGGATTCTCTGGACCGACTGTCAACATCGATCTTCGGGCTGGAAGGTGAAGGTGAGCGGCTTCTGGATGGCGGCGGAGATACTGCCAATTCCTCCCTTATTCGTCTTTCTCTTTCCAGGCTGTGGAGTTGGTGCAGACGGAGGTGGTCCAGCTCGCGCGCCGTCATGCCCAGGTACGGGTTATCCAGCGGGAGTCTGGAAAGAACACTTGTGGCAGACACCTCGGACGGGTACTTGGGTATAGGGGACGCCAGGCTGGAAGGTGCTAGATTCGGTGACGTCGGGTGGGGAATTGGAGAAGATAAGCCTGAAGGGTTAAGACCAGATGTGACCCCTGAAGTAGGTAATCCAGATGATGATGCCAGATGAGGTGAGGATAAATGAGAGGGAAGCGGCGGAGACGACAACCTGGACAGACTGAAGACATCATGAGAGGTCAGCCGGGAGAACAACGAAGACTCGACGGAGGCCATCTTGGAAAGCGCCAGAGGTTCTGAGGTAGGCAGCTTGGAGAGTCCCAGTGCGTCGGGAGAACTCATCCTTGAGAGGACACCAGGATCCATGGGAGGGTAGTGGAGACCAGAGAGGTGGGGGTGGAAGAGATGTGGAGGAGGCAGGAGGGAGCGGGTCAGGTCCCCAGGAGACTTATCATGTGGTCCTGTGGGTGCCCCTGGCGGTGCCAGCAGGTGGGGCGGGGCGTAGAAGGGACGGAGTCCCTCCAGCATAGGCTGGAACATCGGCAGCTGGAAGTGGTATCTGGAGAGAAAGAGATGTAAGACGTGTGTGTGTTACTTTCCAGGACAGAAGAATAAATGTCACTATCGTGAGTGAACAAAAAACAACTAACTCATAAATTGTAGACGATGTTCATGATCCAGGACAGAGCGAAACATCGTTCAATTGTCTTCCAGTATTGCCAGTACCCTGTCACCATCTTAACGAATAGTAATTTAAAGTGTCGCAAAGTTTATGACTCAAGAAAACATAGCCTCAGAATAAGCAAGCAAAAACAGGGTAGCACTCAATTGAGGCTACGCTAGTCGGAGAGGACCCACCTGCTGTCCTTCTTGGTGAGACTCTTGGCTTTGCGCCTGGGACGGTACTTGTAGTCAGGATGTTCCTTCATGTGAAGCGCCCTGTCCAGGGGAAGACAGAAGAGTACCATAAGAACTCGTGATAACCCAGTGTGGCAGGGTGAAGCAGAAACTACGTGGAGGTTCTTTCTGAGTGTTTATGCAAGGGAAAGAGGACCAGTGAAGTGTAACAATAAGTTAAGAGAGGTGAGTGTAGCGGGATTGCGGTCTATGGATTTTTTATTTTAATAATCATCATTATAAAAACAGTCTTATTGCTGTTACCTCCTGCTTAAGTCACCCCTCACGCAGGATGGCAGGTCACATACTGGTTTCGACCCTGAAACCTTCCAGCAAATCTGGAGTTTCTTACATATTTGTATTTTTTTTTTAAATTTTCGAATAGAATGCTACTCACTACAGTCGAGTAACACCCAGGCACCTTAACACAACTAACCTACTTATTATTATTATAATTATAATTAGATACTATATTATTATATTAATACTGAATCTATTATTGAATACAGTCACCCTACAATGCCAGAGACAAAACTTTGAATAAATATCCTCTGTACATATGTGGGTTAGCTGTGAATTATTTCAGTCACATTATTATAACTTATATTATTCTACTAGTCAGGTGTCTACTTATAATCAGGTAAACATGAACCGACAACCGACCCAGGTACCAGTCACCTGTACTTTGACGACTCTAATCACAGAGCTGCAAGTCGTCCTGGTGCATATGTAGTATTGCTGGTTAGGAAGCCAGGAGGGTTGGGGAAGGGAGGAAGGGTGTTTATTGTGAGGGTAGAAAGTGGTGTTAGGGAAAGGAGGGGAGAAGGGGAAGCGGTGGTGAGAAAGGGGTACGGGAGAGCATGATACGAGTGAAGCGTAGGTTCACTACGGCAGGTCGTTTCCTAAATCGATATACGTCGATTTTTTTTCCTGTTATTCTTTTCTCGTAGATGTGTGTGTGTGTGTGTGTGTGTGTGTGTGTGTGTGTGTACTCACCCATTTGTACTCGCCTATTTGTGGTTGCAGGGGTCGAGTCATGTTCCTTGCCCGGCCTCTTCACTGATCGCTGTGTATGTGTGTATACGTATGTATGTATGAGAAATTCTCTGAAAAATAACGGCAAATATGATGAAAAAATCGTCGTTTAAATGATGGTAAATTAATATATAATATATATATATATATATATATATATATTATATATATTATATATATATATATATATATATATATATATGCAATAAGATCACAGTAAACAGGTGATTTCAGAATATGCAAAACAACCACTCTGAAAGAATAGAGAAATTCCAAGCGCTTTCGTGACTACTCACATTATCAAGGAACTTGATAATGTGAGTAGTCACGAAAGCGCTTGGAATTTCTCTATTCTTTCAGAGTGGTTGTTTTGCATATATATTATATATATATATATATATATATATATATATAATATATATATATATATATATATATATATATATATATATATATATATGTCGTGCCGAATATGTAAAACTGGTCAATTAGCAAGAACTCATTTAAAATTAAGTCCTTTCTAAAATTTTCTCTTATACGTTTAAAGATATATTTTTTTCATTAATGTTAATGTAAAAATTTATAATTTTGCACCAAAAGAATCTTAGAAAACTTACCTAACCTTATTATAACAAGTGCAATTTATTTTAGCCTAACCCAACTAAATATATTTTAGATTTGTTTACAATAATTTAATATTAAACAAACACAGTGAAATATATTTTTTTCGTTAGGTTCAGAATGATTTTGGCGAAATTATTGCATACACAAATTATCACTTGTCCTATATGGCAAGATGAGCATTGCTATTTAAGTCAAGATCGCAAGTTCTGCCTATTCGGCACGACATATATATATATTATATATATATATATATATATATATTATATATATTATATATATATATATATATATTATATATAATATATATATATATATATATATGCAATAAGATCACAGTAAACAGGTGATTTCAGAATATGTAAAACAACCACTGTGAAAGAATAGTGAAATTCCAAGCGTTTTCGTAACTTTTCATTCTCAATTCCTCCAAGTATGATATCATCACAACCAACTAGGAAATAATCAGAGCAGTGCAAAAAATCCTTCCTGAAGTCTCTAAAACCAATCCATCCAAAAGCACCCTCTTGGGAGCACCGCTGGGTCATTAGGCCATCGACCCAGTTCTCAAGGACAAACTGAATGACCTGAAGACAATGGAGGAGAGAATAAGGGATCTTGATGCCCATGATGCCCTGTATCTCCTCACAAGGTGTCTAACTCCTGAGGTCAGTCTTTAAGAAGGCATGAAACCCTTCCCTGGAAAATCAGCAATGGGATCAGGCAACCCTCCCAGTGCGCCTGGGAGGTATAGGGGTGCGCAAAGCAACGCAGGTAGCTTTACCTGCACTTCTGTCATCGTGTTTGGCTTCCATCGAATTAGTCAAGGAGATTGAGAGGCGCGGTAGGAGCTCAAGACCCCAGGTTCATTGAAGCAGCCCTGCAGTGGGACACCCTTGTAGATTCCAATAGACCAGCTCCTCCCAAATGAGCACAAACAGTCACACTGGGACAAACCGATCATGGAAAAAAATCGCAACACAATGCTCACCAAGGCTTCAGGAAAGGACAAAGCTCCTCTCCCATTGGTGAAGGCACTACATTCAGGAGATTCTTTTAGCTGTTCCCAATTCCTCCCTGGACACTCGACTCGACCCACAGACCATTCGGATTAGTGTTGCTCTTCGCCTAGCCGCCCCCCATACTCACCGAACATAGGTGCATTTGCGGTAGGGCGACTGCTAATCAGTTCGGACTTCATGGTCTCGTCTGTCACACATCAGAAATGAAGTATGCTAGACTAGAGGAGGTAAACATCATAAAGAAAAGCCTCGCCACAGCCCGTTGCCCAGCTCAACGGGAACCCCAAGTACGGAGGTCTGACGGAAGTCAAAAGCGTCCTGATGGAGCCACTATGCTACTCTGGAAGGATGGTAAGTGTATTGCCTGGAACTACACCAGTGCCGCCACATTGGCACCAACTTGCCACAATCTGAAGCTGAAGGGGGTGGAACTGCCAGCCACAGGGAGACCCAGAAGACCCGCAAATATAAATTCATCCCAGTGGGGTTGGAGACCTTTGGGAGCATGGGGCAAACACGCTCTAAAGTTCCTCAAAGAGCTGGGTGAAAAACTCATCAGAGAACCAAGGATCACAGAGCGGCCAGCTTCCTCCTTCAGAGACTATGTTGTGATCCAGAGGGAAAATGCCTGCATCATTCTGGGCACACGACCCACCTCCGGGAAGCTGGATGAAGTACTCGAGATGTTGGCTCGGAGATGTTATCTTTGTTGTTCTATTTCCTATTGTATTTTTGTCAATGTATTCTGTTTATCAATAAAGTTCATATAATATAGAATATAAGGGTGGTAGGAGAAGACAATATTCAAACAGCTCCGGGGAGAACCTTGAGTTTTCCCTGAAGTAAGTTTATTCTTTTCTCTGAGGATGAAGGTCCCCAGCACAGTTCCAGAGGTGGTACCTCTGGATATATATATTATATATATATATATATATATATATATATATATATATATATATATATATATATATATATATATATATATATATATATATATATATAATATAACAGACACACTACTGGAGGATCAGCAATGGGATCAGGCAACCCTCCCGGTGCGACTGGGAGGTATACGGGTGCGCAAAGCAACGCATGTAGCTTTACCTGCTTTTCTGTCGTCGTGTTTGGCTTCCAGTGCATTAGTCAAGATCGTCCCCAAACGCTTGAGAGACGTGGTAAGAGCTCAAGATCCCAGGTTTACTGAAGCAGCGATGCGGTGGGACACCCTTGCAGACTCCTCCAGTAGACCGGCTCCTCCCAATAGCACAAACAGTCTCACTGGGATAAACCGATCATGGAAAAAATCGCCAACACAGTGCTCGCCAACGCTTCAGGAAAAGACAAAGCTCGTCTCCTAGCAGTGAAGGCACCACACTCAGGAGATTTCTTTCTAGCTGTTCCCAATTCCTCCCTGGGCACTCGACTCGACCCACAGGCCATTCGGATTGGTGTTGCTCTTCGCCTAGCCGCCCCCATCCTCACCAAACATAGATGTATTTGCGGCAGGGCGACGGCTGATCAATTCGGACTTCATGGTCTCGTGTGTCACACACCAGAAGGGAAGTATGCCAGACATGAGGAGGTCAATGACATCATAAAGAGAAGCCTCGCCACAGCCCGTTGCCCAGCCCAACGGGAACCCCAAGTGCAGAGGTCTGACGGAACTCAAAAGCATATTGATGGAGTCACTATGCTACCCTGGAAGCAAGGAAAACAGATTTCCTGGGAATACACCTGTGCCGCCACATTGGCAGACACCTACTTGACATACTCCTTAGCTGAAAGGGGTGGAGCTGCCAGCCACAGGGAGACCCAGAAGACCCGTAGATATGACGACCTTCCCCCTTGCTATAACTTCATCCCAATAGGGTCAGAGACCCTTGTAGCATGGGGCAAGTGTGCTTTAAAGTTCCTCAAAGTGCTGGGTGAAAAACTCATCACAGAAACCAAGGACCACAGGGCAACCAGTTTTCTCTTTCAGAGACTCAGTGTCGCGATCCAGAGAGGAAATGCCTGCAGCATTCTGGGCACGCGGCCCACCGCCGGGGAGCTGGACGAAGTATTCGAGATGTAGCTCTGAGCTGTTATCTATGTTGTTTTACTCCATATTGTATTTTTGTCAATGTATTTTGACAATGTATCTTGTTTTTACATAAAGCATATGTAGAATATATAAGGGGTGGTAGGAGAAATTTTTCAAACAGCTTTAGGGAGAACCTGAGTTCCCTGAAGCAAGTTTATTCTTTTTTTTCTGAGGATGAGGGTCCCCAGGACATATATTACACACACACACACACACACACACACAACACACACACACACACACACACATATATATATATATATATTATATATATATATATA